ATCAAACTCTCTCCAAATATTTACCTTGATTTTATATAGCCCCTTTCCTAAATTGACCAAATCTTCTGTTGTCAAACTATTTCCATCTAAATAAAGATACTGAATGAAACAACTGTGTCAGAGAAAATAACATGACATCAATAATGACAACCAACTGTAATCTGTTGGGGTTATTGCTGATGCTTGTGCATAATCAAAGGCATTGAAGTGGAATCATCAGAGTTTCTCTTTCATTTTTACTTCTTTAATTTTTATATTGTTCTTCCTTCTGGAGGACCACACAATCGTTTATAAGAAAAAAATAAAAATAATCTTAATAATCTTATTTGCATATTTATCATCTAAATCATAATGTAAAAGAAGAATAAACAAGGATTGGGAGAGAATAGGAAACAAACACATTTGGATTTATATTCCAAGTTATGGAGCCTGTATTATGGAGCAGACTTTAATTTCAATTCCACTAGTGTATGATAATGGCCATTCTGGTTGCGGTGCTATTAATTTGATCACATGTGGACATGAAATTGCTGAAGGCTGCTAACTCTTCCTAAGTCACCATTCCTCCATACCTGTTCCGATTCTCTATATCTGTCTCTGTATCTATATCTGAAATAACATATAAGGAAAATAAACATGGTAAACTGGTAGATTATACATTTAAGAATATTTTGGAACATTTGTTCATTTAAACTTCTTTTTAGGCTACTGTTATCAGCAAGAGAAAGAATACAATTATGCACTAAATTATTTTTCAAAGGATACAAATAAACACCTCCTGGCTGAGATGGAATAAAATCTGGGGACATTACATCTCCTTGTATCACTGAGGGGAAAGGGAAATTAATCCATGAATACATAGATTTTCTTCATTTCTATGTCCAAATAAGTCATGTCTTGGTTACCTTTCTTTGATAAGAAAAATACCCTGGATATTCAGAATCAAGCACACTAAATCCACTGGGAATTGTGTGACATATAAATGTAAACCATCTTTGTCATCTTCATTATCATCTTCATCATCATCATTTTATTGAATTATTCAAACTTTATTATGCCATTTCCCTTTATCTCTTTATGCTTTCTTTTTTCCTAATTCCCTTATTTATTTAAAAGATTTGTATGGCCATCCATCTTAAAGTACCACTCTGAGCAGGTTGCAACAACAAATACAAATATAAATAAAAAAACAGTAAAAAACCCAGCCAATTCACAATCTCCCGTCTCTACCCCAGAAGAACCTGGGAGAAGTCAGCTCTCTATGCTATTATTTGCACATACATTCTCCATTTTGGTGAGGATTATGGAAATAGCAGTCTAATTTATATTGTTAACAATAATTACAGAAGGCCAACATGAAGCATAAGCCTAGAAAACAAATCTCTGTATCAGAAACTTGATTGTCAAAAGCTTGATAGTGGATAGGGAGGAATGATAAAGGACAAACAGCATAGAGACAATTGCTCTTCAGCCGAGATACAATTGCAGTTGAAATCTGGGATGTTATGATGAATGTGACATCAAAGACAGCAGTTTAGATCTAATATAGTTTCTTTCAGTTCATTAATAAGGAAAATACACGGTTTGTAAAACCTCTTCTAAGAATGCTTTTAAGATATTTGAAAGTAACTGTGACTAATTCATTGTACATTTAAAGCTAAACATGTTCCTGATGTTGGTTTCTCTGGAGACCAGCTTATTATTATTTCCTGTCATCTTTTTCTTTGGGACCATTTCAATTCATGAAATGTATCATTTCCCTTTGATGTACACAAGATATTTTCAGACCTGTAATGTGCAGTTCGCTTACCAACTTCCACAAACTCATTGTCCTCTAGGACATCCTCCAAGGCATCATCGTGGTCCAGCAATCCAAGTCCTTTGCAGCATCGTACAAAGAATGTTACTTCTTCCACTGAAGCAAACCCTCCATTGTCAGGCTTGTTTTTGATGTAACGCCTCAGAGCTTCTTTTCCCAGCCATCGCACTGTGCTTGTCCCAGTTTGACAAGGGACAGTGAGCCATTCCCCTCGGACATGCACCGTGTATCTTGGCATACCTGTCTTCAGTTCAGGATTGTCCTGTTACTAGAAAGCTTCAGTTTAAGGCTGAGCACCTCTCTGATCTACGTTCTGCAGCCCAAGCCACCTGACTGGCTTTTACTGTCCCAATCAGAAGACCAAAAAGCCACCCACCCACCTGGAGGTTCCTGGGCTCTGCAAATAAATCAGGATATGTACATAACCAAGTATCTGATGAAAAACACAGAGCAAAGCAAGTCTTTGTAAATTAAATAAGCACAATAAAATATTTAAATTAACTCTGTAGCCTGTTTTGTTTCATTTTTGTTCTTGAAAGAACTGCTTCCTAAACTTGGAATCAAGTGATTCCAAACATTTGACTGAGATAAAGAGTTATCTGAATTCAAACTTTTTCCTGGTGAATTTGATTTTCTATTAATTAAAATATCCCACACAAATTATTTTTTTACCATGTACCCACCTTCAAAAGACTTACCTGCTTGAATAGCTAATGCTGGCAATGTCTCCAGATGTATTCAAGCTCTGCAACAATACTTACTACAAAAATATGTCTGATATTAAGTATGTCAAAGGAAAATACATAAGTTATTTAATTGACCGAGCACTTCCTTTTTTGTTGTGCGAAGAACCCTAAGTTTTTAGTCCCTAGCATTTACCATTAAAAACAAATTGGGTTCAGAGTTGCTTTGAACTCTGATTGCACCTAGCAGAGCAAACATTACTCAACTCAATGATATTTCTGTGTACTACAAAATAACATTCTATTGGTGTGTTGATAAAAAGAAGTAATAATGTGAACTCCTGGCTTGATCTTTCATCTCTTCTACCAGGGATATACAAACCTTTAACCCTAACTGGAATTTAAGAATATTATCTCCCATCTAGGCACTTTAATTTTTTATTTTTCTTCATGTCAATTGTAACTGCAGAACCTAATAAAAATGTACGTATTTACAATCATGAGCCAATAGTTTTCTATAAATAAGTCTGCCTTCCCAAATTCACTATCCAACTCCATTCTAGATGAAACCATTCAGAAATGAGCTTAGAGTTAGGAGGACATTTTCCTTCAAGTAAGTTGTAATTTTCTGTATGGGCACATTTTGAAATAAAAGATTACTCTAATGATAAAATCAGTATTGATCACAAGGTAACCAGGGTAAAGCAACAACCTTTAGACTTCAGCCCAAACAGAAGTCATATGTATAGTAGACCTATTAGTATTAATCATTAATCCAAATGTTAATACACATTTAAGTAATATCTGTTGCAGATTTCTCTGGTGTATTATTTCACATTGAAATGCAGCTCAAATTAGAAGCAAAAAATCATACAATAAAGATGGCTATGGGGAAATAACATGGAAGTACAATTCTTTATACATGCAATACAGTCTTCTGGGTTTATTTGGAAGTAGCATGGGAGGACTCTCTACTAATTTCCTTTTAGCTCTGTTTTCTCTAAAACATCTTCTTCCCTCATTGCAGGCAATAACACCCTTTTTGTCTAGGCAAAAAAAATAATATTCAGCATATTTCTTAAAAAAAAAACTAATCACCTTCCATAAACAATATGGAGAAACAAAAAAGGATGACAGCTATAACTCTTTAGCTATCTATAAAATTAAAATATGGTTGTAAAAATATTTTAAAACATTAGGGAATTGTGGCTGCATCTCGAGTATCACAACAGACCAATTATTATGGTCACACAACATATATAGGGACAATGTCTCCTATCATTTCTATTCAATCTAAACAGATCTAGCAGAGGGCATGCTCTGAGCCCCTTCCAGTGGTGGGATTCAAAATGTTTTACTACTGGTTCTGTCGGTGTGGCTTGGTGGGCGTGGCTTGGTGGGCGTGGCAGGGGAAGGATACTCTAAAATCTCCTTTCCCACTGCACTCCAGAGAAAGGATAGTGCAAAAACCCATTCCCTCCCCACCCCACTAACCTGCTTTCCAGCTCCGTTCTCCTGTGCAGGGCAACAAAAGAAGACCCAACCAATCAGCTGGGACTCGGGAGGCAGAGAAAAGATGGGGGCAGGGCCAGTCAGAGGTGGTATTTGCCGGCTCTCTGAATTATCAAAACATCCACTATCAGTTCTCAAGAACCGGTCAGAACCTGATGAATACCTCTGGCCCCTTCTGTGAAAACCATGGTATCTTGTTAAGACCCTGCAGTTATGGCTTTCCAACAGTACAGGTAGTACTCAATTTACAACCACAACTGACCCCAAAATTTCTGTTGTTGAAACATTTAAGTGAGTTTTGCCTCATTTTACGACCTCTCTTGCCACAGTTGTTAAATGAATCGTTACAGTTGTTAAATTAGTAACAAGGCTGTTAATTGAATCTGGCTTCCCCTTGACTTTGCTTGTCAGAAGGTCGCAAAAGGTGATGACAAGACCCTAGGACACTGCAACCATCAAAAATATGAACTAGTTGTCAAGCATCTGAATTTTGATCATGTGACTGTGGGAATGCTTCAACAGTTAAGTGTGAAGAACGGCCATAAGTCACTTTTTTAATGCTGTTGTAACTTCAGTCACTAAACAGTTGTCCGTTGAGGCCTACCTGTAGTACCTGCCCTACAGAACAGCATCCCTCTGAAGATTCAGATGCCCCTGACATTGTTAGCCTTTCGCAAGGCACTGAAGCCTAGCTGTTCCCCCAGGTGTTTGAGTCAGGTGGTTAGATGAGCTCTACTGCATTTCTAAATGAACGAAGTAGTTATTTTATCTTGGGTGCCAGGAGTTATATGGCATGGGTTTTGTGTTTTAATCCTTGTATGTCACCCAGAGCCACCATAGCAAACCACCATACCACATAAATCTTATACATAAAAATAAAAGTTAATTGTTTCTGCCTTTATATTTTAAAGACAAAGATTTGACTCATGAATCAGACATGAAAGCTATACCAACATTGTTACAGAAAGAATAAAAAACAGAGATTGTTTTATCTGTCCATTGTTTATTTCACTTTTCTGATGAAATCAATGATTACATTAAGTATATCAACATAAAAAGAGATTGCAGGTAGAACTCAAAAAGCTATAGTTAATACACAGTTTCAATAAAGTCCACTAATACCTGTATTTGTTGTGGTAAAAGTATAACTACTGTAGCAAAATGTAGAAAAATATAGGGGTTTCCCCCCAGTTTTGCAGAACATGTATGTAGCACAAGGGCAAAGCTCTAGAAAACGTAGAAAGAGCTTCTTTGTTCCAGGTTCAGAACACAATGTAAAGTAAGAAAGCAAATGAGATCTACCATGATTTTATTTGTATTTTTTGGCAAGAGAGTGGAAAAGAATACCAAAATTCTCTCGTACAAGGTCAGCACCATGAACTCTGCAGAATTAAGCTATTTGTCCGTCCAGGCCTAGATCTTTGGATACCAACATTGCAGTCACTGGATGCATAGAAACTTTGTGCTGCTGGAAGGCACTGATGGTTTGGTCACGTGATTTTTCGAATTTATAGAGATCCCTATAAAAAATTCCACATTAACAAAAAAAATTGTTTTAGTACTTTTGTTTTCATTATCAGTACAGTGTTCACATATGGTAATAAAAACTGTAGTCCGAACTAAGAAGGATTATATAGTTTATCTACTCCATTCAGATTATATTTGGAGTTTTGAGGAAAGTGCTGTATGATAAATAGGAGCAGGTTTACATGAACCTGTGTTAGAACTTACTTAGTTAATTTCTGCCTAATGTGGAGAATTTACATTATTTTTGTAAAATATGTATATACCACCTGCTATTTTAAAAATCCCAAAGTGGAATGATAGATAAAACAAGTTCTTAGGTAATCTAATCATCCAATATTTAATAGACTGCTTGCTTCAATCAAATGTGATCAACAGCATAATGTTCATTAATCTCCAGTAATGAATTATTTTTAAAAGCCAAAATCTCACAGCCAAATTTAACAATATTTGGGTTCTCCTATGTGATCTTATAATAACTGCTATTCTTTAGAATGTATTAATGATTTTAAGTTTTAAAATGACATTATAAAACAGCATTGCCAGCTTCATAAAAAAAGGTTAACAACTCTTGCTCCTTCAACATCCAGGTTGTGAAATTTGTATTGTTTGGTATGTGAAAAGAAATAGACTAAACAGAAGCTACTACAAATTCCACATTAAGATGGTTAATAAGGGAGTTGTATATTTGCATTATAATTCTGATACTGGTGGTTTTGAAAAAATAAAAAATGATGTTTAAGTCAATGATTAAGAAAATGGCTAAAACATTTTGACATTTTTCTTACTTGAATAACGGGCGAACAAATTTCATGCGGCCTTGTTCAGTAGCCATCTTTAGAGCTAGAGGGATGGCATCTTCCCACTTGGCTTGAATGCAGAGGCGGAGCCATCTGAAAGGTAGCGAGATGAAGTTCATTTCCCTTTTTATTGCATTCATTTATTTATATTACTATAAACTACTTAATTTTTAAACAATTATATACAAATCCTTTTTATATATAATTAATAATAATCCAGTTTCTAGAATATGCTGTTCCTAAACTGAAGTACTTTGCAAATTAAGTATAGTTACTCATATAATTTATATTTTTCCAGATATCAAGTTATTATAAAAATTTAATTGGCACAAAAGAAAAGCTTTAAAAATGATAATTTGCCCCTATCAGTAGGGTTTAGAAGAAGCACATAGCATGCAAGATGCACAAGCTGTCTTGGCAAGATATCCCTTGCATCGACATATTTTTAAAGTTTTTATCCCCTAAAGTTTATTGCACACTGGACATATGCTTTCAACTTCTCCTTAGGTTTTCTTAAAAAAAACACACACGTCAATTTGCTTTATTTTACAACAAGCATCAAATCAATCTATTGATAGTGAGACTGTTTTTCAGTGCTTCATGAATAACTAAATCAATCTGCAAAACTCCTGCATATAACATATACACAATGAATAATCAAACTGGCAATTCAAAATTTAGAATTTTAAAAACTGGCAGCATCCCCTGCAGATTAGATAATTTTAAGGATAATTTCAATGTAACATTCTTCACTTAACAAATATAAGTGAATGACTGTCAGACCCATAGATCATTCCCCTCCCCTTTCCTCCCATTTGGGATGTTTATTCTTATCTCTTTAAATCCCATGTTGCTTGCTGAAGACCAAAATAGGAAACTGTGGCTGAATGTCAATTGATAAATAGCTTTAAAATTTGAATTGAAGAGACTGGAAACAAAGCACGAAAGTCAGTGCATGAGGATGAAACAAAGAAAAAAAATATATAGTCCTGATATAATAATGGCTTATTTAGCCAAAAGCTTAATAGTCTAAGAATGTTTGTTGGCATCAAATTAAATAGATTAAGTCTGCAAAAGTTTCTAATTAAGCAACCGGTTTGGCCAGATATAATTCATCATTTAAAGGAGCCTAAGAACAAAACAAAAGTATCATCTTTCACCTTCTTCAAACTTCCCAGGTGTGATGCTCTCATTCTTGAACAGCTGCTTACTTCAATATATTTGTTTCCATGTGTAATTTCTGATCTCCATCATGAGAGATTTAGGTGTACATACAATAGGACTAAGTAGAAAAACTTGATTTGCAACCATTTCAATGTATTGTTTCTATATTTGCAACGAACCTGAATTTGATTTCGGAATTGTTTGTTGCATTGAAGTCATAGATTTCCTGCATTCGTCTCACATGGCTCACTGGAAGAGGATTCTATTAATTTTGAAATGGTGTGTGTGTGTGTGAGAGAGAGAGAGAGAGAGAGAAAGAAGGACAGACAAGGAGGAAAAGGAAATGGGGAAAAAACCGCAATGATATATCTTTAGTTCTAAGTAACAATGTCAGTTTCTAAGCAATGTTTCTGGAAATTCACTCATTCTATTGTAGAAAAGTGCAGTTCAGAGCAGATAATAATAATAATCATATACAACTTCATTGCGCCTTTGGTCTATATTCATTAAATAGAAGTAAGAAAGTTGAGTAACCAATTCCTAGCATTGTTTCTTTTGGCATCCAATCTATTTCTAAGGCAAGACCCTCAGCTTTGCTTGTTCTGTTAGTTACCTAGCATACCCAGAGCCCTTCTAAACCAACCTCTACTATACTTAAAAAAATAGTTGGTTAATTTGTAATGTAAATCCTTGCTTTATGCTTTCACAAATAAGGAAGAAGGAAACATGGACCATTTGAACGCAAGGTTTGCCCAAGTTAATTATTCCCCATGTTTCTGAATGAAAGAATATCACATTGAGCTATCTTTTCCCACAATTTATACATTTGCATAATAAAAAAATAACATCGTGCAACTCCATGTTGTGTGCCAGTTGCACCTGTTCTGAACCAGAGGCTGTATTCACTCATACCTTGGTCATCACTTCAATGGGTTACTGTATTGTGCTATATATGGGGTTGCCCTGGAAGAGCACCCAGAAGTCGCAGCTGGTATAGAAAGTATTCACATGGCTAGTCCTCCAATAGAGCATTTTACTCCTCAGCTACGTGAGCAGCATTGGGTCTGAGTTCAATTTAAGGTGCTGGTTATGACCTATAAAGACCTACACTGGCTTTGACCTTCCTAGTCTTTAGGAAGGCCCTGAAGATATGAACTATGTTGAGCTGAGGTAGAATGAATTCTGTTGATCATGATTTCCTGTTTTTTAAAAAAAATTGATTGTGGATAATTTGTATATAGATAATCCTCAACTTACGACTACAATTGAGCAAATGTATGTTGCTAAGTGAGAAATTTGTTAATCTATTTTATGACTTTTCTCGCCTCATTTGTTAAATGAATCACTGCAGTTCTTAAATTAGTAATGTGGTTGTTAAGTGAATCTGGCTTCCCCATTGCCTTTGCTTGTCAGAGTCAGAAGGTTGCAAAAGGAGATCACATAACTCTGGTACACTGCAACCGTCATAAATGTGAGTCAGCTGTCAAGCATTCGAACGTAAATCATGTGACCATGGGGATGCTGCAACACTCATAAGTGTGAAAAATTGTCATAAGTCACTTTTTAAAATGCCATTGTGACTTTAAACGATCACTAAATGAACTTGTTGTAAGTCGAGGACCACCTGTATTAGTTTTTATTTTTTTACCTGTTGTGACTTTTCCCAGAATCATTTAGACAAGATGGGTAGCCAAACAATTTGTAAACATTCAATTTTCCAAACTAATGAAATACTGTCTAAACCAGGTTCATGCCATTTTCCTTGAAAAAAATCCTTCTTTTCAATGTCTGGCTAAACACATATATGTTTGAATGACAAATGGCTGGCAACCACTTACCTCCAACATCAGGAGTGCAAGGAACTCAGTCACTTGGTGAGAAGACATATCATTTATATCAGCTGAGCTGAAAGAACCAAGATCACTTTCAGTGGCCTAAAGGAAACCAAATTGGGAAGAAATGTGAAATCCACAAGGGCAGGAATGTACAAAGGAACTCATAGTTTCTAAAATGCCAGGATCCACATTCAGAAGGATTTCATTTACCAAACCTCACTTTGGTAAATAAGGATCAAACACCAAGGACTTCAGTTTTTTTTAAAGACAAGAAACATTTTTGTCTTACATACTTATAGTTATAAAGATAACAAATATCTTCAAAGACTGAATGTGTAACTTATTCCAATTGCATAAAAAAATTAAAGCCTTGCTTCCACATAATTATGAACAACTTTATATCATAGCATTACAGCAAGTACCTATTTCTATTGAGTAAATTTATGCAATGTCTCTCACACTCATACTATCATACAATAAAAAATATATGAAGAAATAATGTTCAAAACAGTCTAAAATAGCAGCTGATGAAACAGTATTTCAATATAAAGGCAAGTTGTCAATGACCTTGCATTAAATTCTATACTATGAAAGTGGAAGTCAAAGTAAAGTGGAACACTTAAATAACACTTGACAAACATATAAAACGTTCTGTGATTAGAAGTCATTAACTCACTTTGATCCATCTTTGGCTCAAGGCAACACAAGCATTTGACAATGTAGTATCATATCTGATGATGGGAAAAAACAGGATTTGTTTACAAATGTAAAAGTATGTGTGTGCATGTTCATCTGCATGAAATTACATGTTTATTTTTGACACATCTAATGCATTGTAGCAGATTATGTAATATAAAGAACTTTGCTTACAGATATATAGAATTTTAAGAAGAATATTCAAAAATATTTTATAGCTATTTGGTAATCTTGAATTTTGAATAATATTGGTAATATTGATTTTAATAAATGTGTTATTTTTATAGAAAACTATTCTATATGTAGATTTGGATCATCTAAAAATGTGTACCATATTCATCTAGCAATCAACTAAATGCTCATATCAACATAATAAATAAAAGATCCAGAACAGATAATGTAGATTTAAATAAACAAACATCTTTATTGAAAAATAGCTTTAAAAATACAACTAAAAGCTCTGCCTGTAAATAAGGAGATGGGGAAAACTACTGGAGGAAAACTCTTACTCAGGTTTTACTGGTGGCATGCCAGGAGTATGCATCCATGCATTCCAGTCAACTTTGTTAAGAACATTAACCTAGAAAAAAATGACATCCTATTAACCAAAATGTGGGCAGTGAACCAAAATTACTTTTAAAGTCATATCAATTTCTTACAATGTAACACACCCCAGTTTTTTTTAAAGTCACCAAAACAAACTAAATGCAGTTGAATAAGTAAGAAATCATCAAATCTCCAGATTCTCAGATATAGATTTCACACATAATGAATAGAATACAATTTATTCATTAACAACTAAAGCATTGGTTGACTTTGCTGGATGCATGCAGGCATAAATATTTAAATAAGATATATTTTTATGCATGTAAACATATATCTTCAAAAGTAGTATTATTCTGACCTCCAGCTATATAATCCTGAATAGCATGTAAATTTAAATTACTGTGCCAATTACATCCCCATGCTGGAATCCTCATAATGACATATTTTGCTTCAACATATTCATCAGGTAATTTGAGCAACTTTGAAGAAATTAGTCTTTGTTGTAATTTTGGACTGCAATTTTCTTGAAGTGCCAGCTGCCAACATAACTTTATTCGTTTAGTGCTTTTCTACCTGTCCAGATATTACCAAAGTTCCTTTTATTAAATAGTGCAAGGATAAACAATTTGCTGCATCTCAGATACTAAGTGATGTTGTGAATTGCATTTCAACAATCTCTGGAGGATCACAGGCAATCTATCCACTAAAGGAATGTGGGAAAATATAGATCATATTTTCCCACATTCCTTCAATATGACCTATAGGTCCTAGGATTATCCTGTTTTAATCAATTCATTATGTATATTTATACTCATGTCTGTAACTTTTAAGTGGGTGAAATGGGGCATCTTTAGATAAACCTTTTATCAAAGGTATCTCAAATAAAATCCATGAATCCAAAGGAATGCAGTTTGGAAGTTATGGCAGCTTCAGCACTATGAGGCTGCTGCAGTAATGTAATCCTCATTTTCAATATTCTATGACAGTTTCCCAGCCACACTCACTACTTCACCTGCAACAAGCATTTACCTGCCTTCTTGGGGGGGGGGGGGGGGGGGGCAAGTGCGGGAAAGAAGGAAGGGGGGGGGGGGGGGGGGGGGGGGGGGGGGGAGGAAAGAGGAAGTTTTCTGTTGATCAGTTCAGGTAAGGAAGAAAGGGGGAGGTAGGAAGGAAGGATGGAAGAAAGGAGCAGAGAAGTAGGAAGATGGACGGTGGGAGGGATTTCCAATGCCCTTTATTAGTTTTTCATGAGAAAACTCAACAGGAAAGCTGGCAGGAAGTCATAAGTTACTCCTGCTCCCACTGTTTTTTGTTTTGTTTTTGTTTTTTTACCCAACCATGGTCATTCCGTTTCTCTGTTTAGGTAAGTAAGGAAATCTCTTGGGAAGAATATCTGAATGGATCATAGATTAAACTGTAGTTGAGTTTAAAAGATTAAACATTCACTCAAGTGGCTGCTAGGTGAAAAGGAATAATAGTCACTGGTTTCAGATGGGCAGTTCTACAAATTGGATAAATTAAAAAAAAAGCAGACTGGTTTGTTGAAAGGACTGTGTATACAACAATTTGATTTCATATCATTCCATTCTTTTAGTTTAAATTGTTAAGTAAAATCTTGAATTATAAGAATAGCAACTAACCTTATCCTTGAAATAGGAGTAGAGGAAATTTTTCCAGTCTTCAGTCACTATACTCTTGTATGCAAATTGTTGGATGTATGCTCTCAAGAAGCCAATGAAGACATCTGTGAGAGTATGACATATATTAATCAATAGCAGAATGTCTAAGTCAGGGGTGTCAAACTCACAATGTCACGGCGGCATCATGAGATGTATCGGGACTTTTTTCCCCTTTGTTAACCCAGGCGTGGGCGGGGTCAGCACATGACACATCTGGCTCGCAAGCCGGGAGTTTGACAGCCCTGGTCTAGGTTAAAGAAGGTCACGTAATTTTAAAATAAATTAATACCTGGTCCACCAAGTAGCTGCTCCAGATGAAGCAATAAAGCAAAGCCTTTTTCATATGGAACAAAAGAATATGCAACATCAGGGTTTACCTCCTTCAGACTAGGGATCAAATTAGTTACTTCATTTGTGCTTCCAAGGTTATTAATCTAGAAAACAGTTATGAAAACAAAGAAGATTTTCTTAGCAGCGCCTCTGCTCTGCAAGCAGTTACTTTGTTACTTTATTTATTGATTAGCCCTTGAGTGCAAGCAGCTTTGACTACCTGTATGCTTTTGGGTACAATTCTTTTTTGAAAAAAGTATATTTATTCTGTTCTATCAAAGAAGATAAAATACAAAACAGAAAAACAAGCAAACAAAACAAAACAAAAATGTCCAGCACTAACAACAAAGAAAAAAGACTGGTGTACAAAGGAGAAAAGGAGACCCAAATATCAAGTATATTTGGGTACAATTCAAGGTGCTGGTAATGCCCAATAGAGTCCCACATGATACAGGGCTGAAATATTTGAGGTACTGCTTCTTCCCGTTTACATCTACCCATCCCATCAGATCTTCCAAGAAAACCATGCTATGGGTCCCATCTACCAAGGAATATCAATCTGATGGGACCCAGGAAGAGAGCTTCTGTGCCTGTGATTCACTTTGATGTAGTGGTAAAAACACTGGCCTAGACACCAGGAGACTATGAGTTCTAGTCTCATTATAGGTATGAAAGCTGGCTGTGGGACCCTGGACCAGTCCCACTCTCTAAGTCCAACCCACCTCACAGGGTTGTTGTGGGCAAAATAGGAGAAGGAAGGAGTATTATTTAGACAAGCCTGAACACTCTGCAGCAACCCGGAACAGCAAAAAAAAAGAAAAAAAAAGAAAGAAATAGAGCATTTATACAACATATTCCAACAAAATGGAAATCCACCCAACTTTATCAAAAAGTCCCTGACCACTCAACCCAATAAAGCATACATCAAGAATATCTCAGAAACCACCATCAGACTCCTACAACCACATGGAATCAGGATAGCACACGTGTCAACTAAAGCCCTTTAAAGCATCCTAAGCAAACCAAAACACCCAACAACCCCAGAGAAAAAAACAACAACAGGAATCATCTACAACATACAATGTAACAACCACTGCAACAACCACTATGTAGTACAAATAGGCAAAAGACTGGCAGAAAGCATCCATGAACACCAATTAGCAATCAGAAGACATGATGAAAGTTCTTTAATTTCACAACATATAGACAGATGTGATCATAGTGTCAGTTGGGAGAATGTGACCATCCTAAGACCAATCCAAGTCCAAAAACACCAGAGAATTTCTAGAAGCCTGGCACTGGCAAATCAGCCATCAATAGACAAATAAACATTATAGACTGTGCAAAAGGGACAATCAACCAGCCCAAAGGGGAACAAAAAGACCCAAACACCTCTCCACCCACAATCAGCACCCAGATCAGCATAGATTAACTCCAAGGTTAACATCAGACCAACAATCAAAGAAGCCCACATCAAACAGCCCAAACGAAGAATCCCTAAGACCACCCCCACCACCAACACTGACAGGCAAGCCACCAGAATATAAACTGACAGCAAACTGCACTCTTTACTAGTACTGATGATGTTACATAGTTGGGTGATGGAATATCTGCAAGAAAACAAGCAAGCTCAAGAGAGTGTAATTTTAACCCTGAGCTACAAATATTTTCCTTTATTAAGGAATATTATGTAATATTTGCTGCCCTGAGTTACTTATAAAGTACTAAAGACAGGATAAAAAAAAAATCTAATAAATAAATAAATAATTTCCCAGGGCTGGTCTTTATTCTTTTGGCATCTAGAAAGGCTCTGAAGTGTGCTACCACATTTAAGGGACCAGTAGAAATGGTAAGCCTCTTACTGAATCAGATGTATTGCTTGCATTTACCTACTGATTGTGATTGTTTTGTGTCTGAATTTCTGACAGTAGTTTTTAATATAGTTGTATGCTGTTTTTATTTGCACTTTTATTGTTCTTGTTATTGTTTTTAATTGTTGTCTAGAGTTGCATATGTTAAATGAGCAACTATAAAAACTGAATAGTCTATCCATCAATCAGGTTCTTTCCTGGCTTTTGAAGCTTTGGGCACTGTTATGTCTACCCTGCCCACATCTAGATCAGACATAAGCAATTTTTAAAGAGAGAGGGAACTTGTATGAGCTCAAAACGTTTTAACTAAAATGATTTTAGATTTTGTTCTGCAAAATATACTTCGTTTTTATTGCATTGACGTCTGGCTCATTTCCGCAATTCAAGTCAAAATAGTACTGGCTGCTACTTAAAAAACTTCAAAAAATGTAAGAAAATTTTGAAAGCTTTTCTGCCTAACATAAGGAAATTTGCATACTGTCTCCAAAATCTGACTTTTGTTCCTTAAACTGCCACTTTGAAAGTGCATTTCAGTAGCAAGATATGAGAACATACCTTCAACAATACTCATATAATGGAACTTCCAAATCAAATAAAATGTTTGATTATTAGTTTTTTCTGAATTAAGTTCCACAGATCTTCATTTTGCTTAAATATTCTGTTTGATAAAGAATTTTTCAACTTATAGACTTATGCTGCCACTTTGTGGATTTATTTAATGTAATCTATGTATTTCTTTCTCACTTTGAGTATCGAAAATGGTAAGGAAACAATAAAGGAAACATTTCCAAAAATTAAATGCTGGTTTAGGGAGAGGCAGTATAGTTACGTTTCTTGAAATCAGATGCACTTACTTTAAATGGTTAAAAAATATCTATTTGACACTTAAAATGTCTTTATTTAATACAGGTAGTCCTTGATTTATGACCACATTTGAGTCCAAAATTTGTGTTGCTAAGTGAGATGTTTGTTAAGTGAGTAAGGTGCTAAAGACTTGTTCTTCTTCCACAGGTACCAGGCTAGATGTTCCTGGTGTTGTGTTGATACATGTATTGAATTCCCCCTGGATGCTTGGGGAGTTTAAACTGGTTTTAGGTGGATTTGCATTATTTGTTCTATTATTTGTTATCTATCCAGGCTCATGTGTCAAGGGAGTAATATTATACATTTAAATATTCCATAAACCAATAATGCACTTACTGTGTTTTGTAATTCTCGCCAGCCTCCTAGAGCCTGGAAGTGCCTGAATTGTTCTCCAAACAGCCGACCACCAATTCTGCGTTCTAGATAAACAGTATGCCCCTCATTTAGCCTAGAATATGAAACAGATAAATGAGTATTTTTCGATAGACCCTTAAACAAGCAACAATTCTTCAAACATTTGGATTTCACCTACCAAAAGTGTTCCCAAGTCTTGTTTGTTACCAAATTCCCTGTCCAGCTATGAGAAATTTCATGTGCAATAACCTGAAATGTATAAAAATGTATTGTGGCTTCTTTAACTCAAAGAGACAACAAATAGGAGCAAAATCATGTTCTGTTTTACTAGTTAATGTCTGCAGCACCAAGTACAGAAATTACATGAAAGAGAATGCCATCAACTGTATGTAGCCAAAAGAAGACTAATGTTTTTCCAATGCTCATATAATCTCCTAAATCTCTTAAAATGTGCTTCAGTTGTAAATTTCTGTATCAAATTCTATAGAATAAACCTTTGCCATTTTTCTTATTAATATGTATTGAATAATTTTGAACTAAATAGGTAACATTGATTATCTGAAGCTATTTATGAAGTTTTGAGCAACCCATTTGCATTTCATAGCATAAGTGTATCCTCATAAATCAGTAAATTTAGATTTATACTTACACTGGATAATGATCTGTCACCAGCCTGCACAAACAAAATAATTTAATTAAAACTCTAAAGTCATACCAGACAAATAAGTTTTACAATATTATGGTCTATAATTTGGACAAAAAAAATAGTTTACAGGTAGTCCTCGACTTACATCAGTTCATTTAGTGACTGTTAAAAATTAGAACAGCACTGAAAAAAGTAACAGGACCATTTTTCACATTTACAATCATTGCAGAATCCCCATGACACATGATCAAAATTCAGACACTTGGCAACTGACTCATATTTATGATGGTTGCAATGTCTAGGGGTCACATGACAGCAAAGTCAATGGGGAAGCCTGGTTCATTTTACAACCATGCTGCTAACTTAACAATTGCAGTGGTTCACTTAACTGTGGCAAGAAAAAAAATATAAAATTGGGCAAAACTCACTTAACAAATGTCTCACTTAGCAACATAAATTTGGGAGTTAATTTTGGTACCTATATAAAGACATATCAAAGACAAGACAATTTCGCAAATGAAATGGGGTCAAAGTGATTCAATATTTTGTTCTAGGACAGGGGTCCCCAAACTTGGCAACTTTAAGACTTGTGGACTTCAACTCGCAAAATTCATCAGCCAGCATAGCATAGCTGGCTGAGGAATTCTGGGAGTTAAAGTCCACAAGTCTTAAAGTTGCCAAGTTTGGAGACCTCTTTTCTAGGAGATGCGATCCATAATAAAGTCAAACTTACTAATAAAGTAGGAGTTACAAAAGTGAGGCAGGGATTCTCCATACCACCATATGGAAATGATGGGGGCAATACCAACAAGTCATATTGACCCCAGACATAAGGACCTGCCAGATCTTCTGCTATTTTCAGCATGGCTTCAGCCTGAAACAAGAGTGAGCAAACCAGTGTTTAATTTTTAACGTAAGTATACAGAAGACAAATAAATATACCAGCAAATATGGCTATTATCATTATGCAAGTAACCCACCTCACCAAATTCATAAGCTGATTTGTCCACCAGTTCCTTTTCAGCCCACACCAAAGTTCTAGGGCCAATCACTCTGTAGAACAACATTCAATTAGATAAATGAAGAATACTGTTTGGATTTCATTACTATGCAAGACAGTATTAGCTAAATTGTATTAACTAGAGCAAATGAGTTGCAGGGAATAACACTGAAATGCAACAGTTGCTAGGTAATTGTTTCAGTTATTTTTGTTCCTAATTCTGTTTCTTGACTAACCTTCCACTCATATACTGATCACCACAGAAAGAACAGGTATATGCCTCACTTTCTCCTTCACCTCTTGCCCTTAGGCATGTGGATGCCTCTTACCAGCTGACAGAACTGCCATTTGCAATGAGAAAATGAAATCTGATTCCTCCCAATCAGCTGACCAGGTGGCTGGTACCTGGCAGGTACAGCTTCATTGCCTGAGATGTGTCCAGTTGAGAAATCAGACAGCCTTTTTCCAGTGATCCAGAGCCACAAACAGCTACTGAGGATGTAGGATGCTTAAATCTCCCCCCCTACCGCCCCACCCACTTAACCAGCATTCAACTATATTATCCTCACCTGCTTTCCAAGGCACCAACTACTAAAGCAACCAGATAACTGGGTATTGGAACCTAACACAGAGGAAGAAGGAAGTAAGTTCTTAGGAAATAAAACAATAATTACCACAGACCTATATGTTTGACAGTTTAAATTTAGAAGGCTGCTTGCTGAAGAAAACTCATTCACATACAATATGTCATGTGAATACTCTTACATTTTGAATAAAACGGAATATCTTCCTAGATGGGTCTTCTGGATCAAGCAAGTCTCCATCTCTCTTGGCACTCATAAGAGCCACCAGCTCACTTGGAACAGATATCTAATTAAACACAAAACACATCTGAAATTTATATTCAATATGATAACACTTTTCCTTTTAATTAAAATGCTAATTCTGCAACAGTGCAAGTCAGAAATTTGTTATGTGTTATGCATACGCTCGCATCTCCTTCCAGATGCTCCCCTCTACATCTTGCTGTTTTCAGCTTTGATTCTATTGTACTACATCATCAACAGCTCATTGAAGCTAAATTAGATATAAACATGCACCTCAATTATATAAGCTTATAGTAAATGTTTCATTATCTAGCATTTAACAAGAAAACTAAGTGCACAATTTTAATTCAAATAAATTATTTTAAGTGTAACCATTACAAAAAAGAGCTATTTAAGCAGACAAATCCTTTAAAAATGTATCATCCATGCATTTAGCATATACAGATGAAGGCTTGAAATATAGATATGTCTTTTATACAAGGGTAAGTCTTGGCCAATTGTAGTTCCCTCATACACTAAAACCTACACTGTGTGTATTTAGGGGTAGAATGTCTTGCCAAATGGGTAGAAATATGGCCATTTTAGCAAAAGTAGCAAGAAACAGTGGAGTTGCAATTACAGAGAATGCTGAGGAAAACAAATTATCTGTACATATAGTAGCCTGGTTTCAGACTTGGCTTCCAATGGGATTGTCTGTCTGTCTGCTTATCTCTTGTGAATGACCTCAGAAAGGATTCAGAGGAACAAACAAAATGACTCTCGTCTTTCAGGATTTCTCAATGGCTTTCAATGATGTTAACCACAGTATCCTCTGAACTGTTTGCAAGGTCTGAGAGTTGGTATTATGCAACAGTAGTTCTGCTTTCCATTTGAAAGATCTTTCAGTCAACGGTGGTATGGGGAGAAGGTTGGGTCCTTCATCCATCTGTTATATCCAGGGCTTGTTTCACCTATATCAGTACTGTCAAACTCCGCCTCATGGACTGGATGTATTGCGCGCTGGCCATGCCCACACCCAGTTTAGCGAAGGGGGGGGGGGAAAGTCCTGATATGTCACGTGATGCCACTGTGACAATATGAGTTTGACACCCCTGACCTATTCTATTTAACATCTACACAAATATGCTAGGATAGGTCATCTATAATTTGAGATGCACTATTATCAATATGCTGATGATATCCAGTTGATCTAGAGGCAAATGTAGTAGACGTCCTTATGCATGAAGGCTGCTAGGGTCAGGATAGAGAAAAACAGTTTCAAATTCAACTCAGGCAAGCAAAGTGATGACTAATTCAGAATTCTGCTAATTATAGGACTATGCCATTTATGATTCCCAGGTGCACAATCTAGGGATCCTTTTTGACTAGAATCAGGAGAGGCCTTGGATCAGCTTCGGCTAGTACTCCAGATGTGACAATATATGGAACAGGATACTCATGTAAGTATCATATCTAAGGTAGGATTAGAACTCACAATCTCCCAGTTTCTAGCCTGATAACCACCATACCAAATAGGCTTTTATTTTCTTATTAGACTACTGTAATTTGCTCATTATGGGTTGCCTTTGAAGACCACCTGGAAACTTCAGTTAGTTCAGCAGCTTGTGTGCTTATTGGACAATCCCAGTACTGCTTTGCACTGGTTGCAATGATTTTCTTAGTGCTATTCAAGTGCTAATTGCCATCTATAAACCTTGGGGTCTGGCAAATGTTAATATACGATAACAGACATTTTTAAAAAAAATCTTTAATCAGAAGGAGCAAACATGACAATATGTAATACTAGGCTTTCAACCGTTAGAGAGCTGAATAATTTAAGTGGCTTTTGAGTTGTTGCTATAAAGATTTGTTGACTGTTGGACATATTTATGTATGACATTTATTACTTGTCAAACAACTATAAGAAATTACTTTTCTTCTTTTGTCCCTTTTTATTAATATCATCCCATTTAAAATAATTTCCCTACTCATCTCTCGGGAAAACCCCTATGCTCAAAAAACATTCATGCAAAATGTAAACAATACTGCATCTAGTTATGTTCTGTTTATTTTTCTTTAAAACTCACTTTTCAGACTTGGGTAAATTACCTAAAATTGGGTAAAAGTGATTTTTCTTTGGGTATGTTATATGAACCCATCAGCTAATTACAACAGGGATATTTAAATCAGGACTTTCTGATAAGCAATTTTGATAAGAAAGGAAAAAGTTTGATATGCATCACTTAAAGCTTAGCTCTTTAAAGCTATAGAACACTGGAAATTTCTAACTCCAGTAACAGGTAGGGACAGCATATCACAGATTTTCATAAAGGTAATTCTTTATGTAATTTGCAATGCAGCAAACAGGATGATTTGAGTAATATCTATATATTGCAAATTATCTGCTAATCTCAGTACTTTTATGTGGAAAGGTAATGACATCATTTTGGAGGCATTTATTTAATGCTCCTTCAGCACTTTTTACTTCCCTCCACTTCTTTTCTGAGAAATCAACCACAACTTTTTTTTTTAATGTCTGTGGTTGATTTGTTCATTCTGCAAACCAAAATGCTGTCTTCTGACAAACTTGAGTCTAAATCAGTCTTTCTCAATCTCAGTATCTTTAAGACCTGGGAACTTTAGCTCCCAGAATTTCTCCAGTCAGCATTTTAACATGGGTGAAATGGGTCTTTAAGATCTTAAAGTTGCCAAGATTGAGAAACATTGGTCTTAACCATATAAGTAATGTACACCAAAGTAACTATCCAAACTTTACAAACAGAAGGTCAACATTTGGTACCTGGCAAGACTAACAGAGACCATTTGAATATTTTCAGTGTTTAACTATTTATTTCCTCAAATAAGTCTCTCTGGCAGAATCTATGCACTTTTGAAACATATCCTATACTAATTCCGTTGGGCCAACCTAGTACAAAAGGAAGGCATTTCTGCAACATGAAGTACTTACCTATTAGAGTCTTGGGGAATAATTTAATAAAAGATGCTTCAGAGTATGCAGGAATATGAATGTAGCATCCATTTGCAAGTCTTTAAAACTATCAAAGCCCCATCTTTACCCAGGATCATACAGCTGATCTCTGCAGCTGCCATGTGATCCAGGGAAAAGATCTGGATGCTTCAAAGAGTCACAGACAGTTTCACAACCCTTTGCTCTCCAAAGCACCCTTTCAGCACTGACCCTGAAGCACTAAACTGCCTAGTACTTACCTCCGCATAATATGTTAACTTCACAGAGGGGGTATCTTGGCAGGGGAGAAGAGCTCTGCAATGAATAGCCTAATGAAGAGACAAGGGCACTGATTAGTTCTTATATAGATAGTGCAGCAAACCACTAAGAGTATGGCTAATATACAGGCAGTCTTTGGGTTACAACTATTCATTCAGCGACTGTTCAAAGTTACAACAGTGCCGAATGAATGATATTTACAACAAGTCCCTGCAGTTCCAGTTGTCACGGCATCCTTGCTGTCACATGACAATGTACAAAATTCTCTGCTGACTTCCCACAAGCAAAGTCAATGGGGAAGATGGCAGGAAATTGGAAGTCACAATCATATATAAAGCGTTGCTTATTGTCAGCAACCAGAACTACAAAATTTATAGGTTAAAAAAAGCAAGATAGTCATATTAGTGTATCATATAGTTTACACACCTCTGAATGTTTTCATTAGATAATTAACAATTATACATAGGTCTAACAATATAAAACTTGTGCTATTATACTTTATAGCTTATTTTTTTCTGTATTTTTTGATAATGTATACATTTTTGTGTTTTGTTCCTTTTGCTTTATTTCTGTTATTTTAAAAAATTATATCTATACAAAATAAAAAAAGGACTACTGGAACTGCTGTTGCCGAATGGTATGGTCACATGACTTTGCACTTTACAATTGCATAGCTTAGCAATGGAAAATCTGGTTCTCATTGCCACTGTAACTTGAGAACTACCTGTAAAATGTTTATTCTATACTACAACGCAGCATAGTATCCAATTCTTGCATAATCATATCCAGTCACAGTTCATTCAGGCTCAAATAACTCAATTATACATCTACACTTTATTGCGTCTCATTCAGTAGACTCCTTTCTAAACTTTATGTTCTTAGGCAATCTGAAATTTGGCAGGCACATGGGAAGTAGCTCAGTAAGATTACAAAAATGCATGCCATACATTTGTACGTACCTGAGTTATAAGCAGTCTCAAAAATGACTGTGCTGTGAAGTGTCCAATCCGAAGTTGTACAGTATATATACAAATCAGAATGTGTAAATTTATAATTTAAGATGTGTAAAGCCCTATAATTCATCTAAGTATGTTAAACCAAGCATTAAACTCCGTATGACAACCAAGCATGTCTTTACCCACAATGGCACATCTCCTGTATATTAGGATGTATTAACAACATACTATATGCACGTTTAGGAAGTAAGGCATTCTCAGACTTTTATCAGGCAGTAAGATCAGTAGCACTTACTTATGAGACATGTCGCTAAAGCAACCTACTCACCTGACACTGACTAAAAAGAAATGGATGTCTTTTCCCTGATGTCTGCTCTGGAGTAAACCACTGGAGTGCTGAAGACCTTGGAGAGGTTTCAAAAGAGATCTCCACAATCACATCTTGGCCCCTGCAGATATTTGAATATTTAGACTGGGAATATCACATAGACTTTCCTAAACCATCCCTCAAACCTCAACTGTAACAAAGATGAATACCTGCTGAAAGACCTTAGTAGTTTGTGGTCCACCCACAAAGCAAAAGAGTAAGAAAACTTTATACGCACAATAGAACATGGAAAAAAATTAAGTTACCAACTGGAAAAATAAAATAAAAAAACAAAACCATGCAGTATCTTAATGGAAGCAGTTGTCTATTACATTTTTAAAACAAATCAAAATAATTTTATAATGTGCTGCTCAACAATTATAATCAGTTGCTGAGTCCTATTCGCCTGAAAAGAAGCCAACAACAAAGTGAACCTATCAAATACCAAGATTAATCTTATATCATGAGACCCCAAAGAAATTCTCAGAACAGGTATCAAAAATATTTTAATGGTTATTGACAAAGAGAATGTGAGCAATATTTCTTCTGAATATGTGGGCAAAGAGCCACAATGTACTTGTGCGAGTCTGCCCACATATAACTTACTAAGAGTTCAACTTACTCTTATGTATTATTCTTATAATGCACACCTACAATGTTGATTTTTTAAAATTCGTAGCACTTTATTGATTAAAGAAGAAAACATGCTCCAGAAATCACCAGATTGACAGATACTGAGGACTCTAGTCTTTCTACAGTATGTTTTAATTAGCTGCAATACACTTTCTGTATTGGTGTCTTTGGTGTCCAAAACCTCTTAAATAAATCTGAGTTACAATAACAAATAAATGTTCTAACAATAATGAAAATATTCTGGAAGTGGAAATGAACCACCCCCTCTCTGGTAGCACAGCTTAATTCTGGCATGATGTGTCAAGTTTCTGTAGAGGGTGTGGTTGAAAATTTTTGACATCCCATTCTTCTGCAGCAGGGTCACCAAGAAGGACAAACAAGAATAATTAGCAAATGGGTGGTGTTGAGAAAACAAGTATCCCTGATTTTAAAATTGGAAGATAAACTTGTGGAAATGAATTTGTCCAGCAGTGCATTCCTCCTGATATTACTCATCCTGCAGCTGATTTCTGAGGTTTTTCCTCCATTACTTTCTGTTTTAGAAGTAGGGAACCAGCCCAATTTTCAGAAAGCAGTCTTCTAAGTTCTTTTGCCTCCCAATCTACAATTTGCAAGTGGATTGCTTTACCAAAAGTTTTATAGATTTGTCTTTTCTTTCTCTACTTTTCAAAATATTTTAAAACTTTATTTCTGGAAACTTGGGTTTTTATTTATTTGTTCTATTTGCTGCCTATCTCACTGTAAGGCTACCCTAGACTGCTTTTTTTGAATGAAGAACATTTTGTCCCTAATAAAAGATCAAAAGTAAAGTCTTTGGAAAGATGTGCTAGATTGCAAAACAAAAAGAGAGGATTGTGCAAGAGAAAGCCAAAAACGTCTTGATGATTTTAATAATTATAAGACTGTTAAAGATAACATACAATATTGTGCCCCACCTAATAATATTTATAGTACTAGAGTTATTTTACTCATTTTTTGCTCCACCTTTATTATTTCTATAAATAACTCAAGGTAGCAAACCTATGTAATTCACCCTCCTTCTATTTTCCCCACAGCAACCACTCTGGGAGGTTGGTTTGGCTGAAAGTACTTTGAAAGTTCATAGTCACCCAGCCAGCTTTTATGCCTAAGACATGACTAGAGCTCACAGTCTTCTGGTTTCTAGCCTGGTGCCACAAGACCATAAGCCTAAATTGGCTCTCAGCATTTATAATGCCGCAGTATTATTTATTCAGCAAGGGCAGGGTCATAAATACACAAGTCCTAAGATCAAGCTAATAGCAAGATAACTATGATATGAAGATAAAAATGCATACTTCCTCAAGTGGAATGGCAATGTGATTTCAAGTGGTGCTCCTTTGAAGCTGTGTTGTTGTCCAAGAACAAACTGAGCCACTTGATTGTTAACAATCACTTTCTGTATTGTTAGGTCTTTGGTGTCCAAAACCTGTTAAATAAATGTGAGTTACCATAACAAATAAATGTTCTGACAATAATGAAAATATTCTGGAAGTGATAATTAAAACACTTAATATTTTACTTATTATTAAAATTCTCCAAAAGGATCAAATGCATGTAATGTTAGGTCCGCTCAAGTCTTAAAACTGATATAAGCTTTCTTTATAAGGCTGCTTAACAGTGGTGGGATTCAAATTTTTTTACTACCAGTTCTGTGGGCGTGGCTTGGTGGACGTGGCAGGGGAAGGATACTGTAAAATCTCCAGTCAGAGGTGGGATTTGCCGGTTCTCTGAGCTACACAAAATTTCTGCTACTGGTTCTCCAGAACTGGTCAAAACCTGCTGAATACCACCTCTGCTACAGTACATAACCATTCCTACTCTCTGGCCCATTTTCTCCTTTTTTATATAAAAAGAGGACAAAACATTTAGCTAGTGAAATGTGTATTTTGTGCTGTGTTTCTTTCACAAACTGTCACGCAAGACCTCAGTCTGTTCCAAGAAAAATGGAGAGAAATTTTGTTTTCAGCTTAGAAGCAGAGTTGGTCAAAGACCTGCCTGGAAGTTTATTCCCCACAGCAAGACCATCCCACATTCCTCCATGAAGAACTATACTTTGACCTAGCAGAAAGCCCTGGAAGGATTATGCTTTTGCAACATCTGCTATCAGGGAGATAAAAAGCAACTTCCAAGAAGCCTTAAAATTTTATTAGTGCTAGCTCAGCACATTCATGCATTAAATTGTACATTACGCTTTCACGATATTGTGTGTGAGCCACCATGCATGGTCATCCCTCCAAACCCCTCCTTTAAACGTACTGCTCTACGTTTACACAGTAAGTCGTAGGGACACCACGTCCCCTCATGTAAGGAAATCGTTATTTTAATTCAACTGCTTAAAATAGAAGCTAAAGAAAACCTTACACCCAATCGCTCCAATGCATGCATACTTAAGGAGCAAGATCTCTATCAGCAATCACTCAAAGACAGCTTCCTGGCCCATCAAGAGGAGAATTTTAAGTCCGGGGGGATTGGGGTCGTCCTTTATTTCTTCTTCACTCGACCCCGAATTCCCGGGCAATTCTGAACGCTGAAGCCCAACGCAGCGCGAGAGAACCTCCCCTCTCCCCAATTCGAAGCCCCCCACGGAAGGAGCGGCGTTACCAGGGAACTCAAGTTGTCCCTTTCCGACCGCACGGTGAGGGCCGCGGTGCCCCTCAGCGATTGGCTCTCGAAGTCCACGCGGCAGCTCAAGTAGAGATGGTGAGTGCGGCAGGCATCTGGAGCAGCGAAGGAACTCGGGTCCCCCTCAGCCATGGCTGCAGCACACAGTTACACATTGGGCGGCTCAGGGCGACGCTCGCTATTTAATGAACTCCTTAAGACCCGCCTTGTGGGCTGAGGGTCCCCTCCTCATTGTGGGTGGGCTCAAGGAGGACGCTGGGAGTTATAGTTCTTCACGAGGTCCAGCGCTCATGCAACTAATGGGAAACAGACTGCTACTCCCATGATGCACGACAGCCAAGTAGCTTCTGGATATCGATCAAGCAACCTATTAACCTATTACCAGTCCGAAACTTTCAAGGAAAGCAATTTAAGTGGACAGAAAGCGATCTTTCACCAGTACTTCCTCGTTAGTATAGTGGTAAGTATCCCCGCCTGTCACGCGGGAGACCGGGGTTCGATTCCCCGACGGGGAGATGCAAGCTTTTTTTTCACCGTGTATTTCTTCCAAATCTTAATAGAAACCGAGATAGATTTTCAGATACAAATGATATGTGTTTTCCAGTTTACAGCAACAGCCAGTAATTTAGTATCTTTCAATATTGTGTATTTCTTCCAAATCTTAATAGAAACCGAGATAGATTTTCAGATACAAATGATGTGTATTTTCCAGTTCACAACAACAGCCAGTAGGCTAACTTACTATCTTTCAGTATTGATGTTAATAAGCCTACATGATGCTATTCTTTAAGCCAGCCAATTAAAAGTTTAAAGAGGAGTACCATCGATATAGTTTTAGTTGTTGCTTAAAAATAATATAAGGAACTTACTGGGACTGTTTTAAGCTTGGAAATACATTTATAAACACTGAAATCTGACCATGGACTAGATTTCAGACTTGAATACAAAATGAAAGTTTTCCCCTTTGTCTGCTATGTTCTGTCTTGCTTTCCAGTATATCATTTAACCTCTTTGAAGTCAAGAAGCCGAGGTGCAGTCGGCCAAACATTAGCAATTGCTGGTGCTGCTACTTACTATACTTACATCATAGACCAGTGTTTCTCAATCTTGGCAGCTGGAAGATAGGATACATTGCTTTATTGGCCACGTGTGATTGAAGACACAAGGAATTTGTCTCTCGTGCATAAACTCTCAGTGTACATACAAACAACAGAGCGATAAGTCATAGATCATAAGATACAAGCAACTGATAAATCATAATACACCAATAGGAGAAGGTAGTAGGAAAGAAGAAGTGAGAAAGATGAGAAGATAAGATGAGAAAGATGACAAGATGACAAGAACAATTAACCAGTGGAACACCTTGCCTTCAGAAGTTGTGGGTGCTTCATCACTGGAGGTTTTTAAGAAGAGGCTGGACAGCCACCTGTCTGAAATGGTATATGCTTGAGCAAGGGGTCACTAGAAGACCTCCAGGGTCCCTTCCAGTTCTATTCTGAATTAGTAATTTGGTGAGACTATTAATATTTTATAAAAAATAGGAAAGGTGGTCAGAAATGAAACATAAGCTTTTGTGCTTGTGTTTATTTATTCATGGACAGAAAACCTTAAATGCAGTGTTCACGGCTTTGTGACTTATTTATTTAACTTATATGCCACCCATCTTGCTTAGAGGCAACTCTTGGTGGTTATAGCAAATAAAACCAGCAGAATAAAACATTAAAATAATAAATATTAATATTAAAATTATCTTAATCAACAAAGATGGAGAGGAAGGGAGCAAGATGCATACTGAGAGGAGTTGGGGTCTTACCTCAGTCTATTAACTGTTTCTAGTATGCTGCATCTTGGCCCCAGGACAATATGTTAATCTTATATTTTTATACAATCCTCAGGTTATCTACCCACTCCACTAGATTTATTAGGTGGAACTCAGGAATTGTTCCTTGGTAGTGGTCCTTATCTTATGGAATGATCTTCCTCTTGGCATAGAGTTGGCCCCAATTCTGCTTGTCTTTAAAAAGACTGTCAAGACCTGAGTTTCCCCCCAGCCTTTAGGTCTGCTGGAGCCCAGATTAAATGACAGTTATTGCTGTTTGGATCTCAATTTGATTTTTTTAATTGCTTACAAGTTTATGCATTGTGGTTTTGTATTATGTTTGTTAGGATTTTATTTTTTTTTAACAACTACATAGAGTCATCTTGGTTGAGTTGGACAGCCATATAAATATCCTAAATCAATAAATAATTCCAGTTCTAAATCAATTCCTGAGCAGTCATTCTTTTTAAGTAGTAAGGAATGTTTTATACTCATCTGATTTAATAATTCTTTCTTCAGTATATTGAACAGCATTTTCAGGGACATACCCTAAAGGAATAGAACTTGTCTTTATATTAGAATACACCTTAGTTTACTATAGGATGCAAGATATACATAAGGGGTACCAGCCTTGCTATATAATGAATAATGAGAAAGCCAATTAATACTAAAAACAAATCAAAGCATTTTTATTGGCTATAGAAGGTCTTTCAGTTGTGCTACCCAGGTTATTCTTTGGAATATCCTAGAAATATGAGAATCCCAGAACATCTTATTGTCTTCATTCAAAACCCATATACAAGGCAGAAAGCCGCAGTCTAAACAGAACATGACAAAACAGCCTGGCTCCAAGACAGCAAAGGAATGAGACAAAGCATTATACTCTTTATTTATTTATTTATTTATTTAATCTAGATGCTGAATATATATTGAATTGTAAGAAGGTAAGTATAATTTTAAAATTACAGGAAGAAACTCCAATACATTTTGCTGTGTTGATGACACTATTCTCATAGTTGAAAATGAAAATAATCTCTGGGTCCTAATAATGAAAGTCAAGCACCAGTTAAAACATGGAAATATGATTGATTATAAAGAAGACCAAACTCATGGCAACAAGTCCAGCAACCAGCCTTTGAAATGACATTGAATATATTAAAGTAGTGGGTAGCCTTTTAGAATCAATTATCAACAGTAAAGTAACAATTAGCCAAGAAATACATCATAGACTGCTGTGATATGCCTATACCTACAAAGATCAGAACCATGCAGGCAATAGTTTTCTCTATGATATGTTATAGAAGTGAAAGTTGGACTTTAAAGCATAGAAATGTGCATATATTGTATAATTTTCACGGAATGTGTGGGAAATCATTTCATTATCATCACTGCCTACTACTAATGCTGACATAAAAATGCCCATCCACTGAAAGTATATTTTTTGGGAAGAATTCAGAAGTGGCAGCATAAGAATTATACCTCTTGTGCTTTGTCTTCAGATCTATGTGTTCAGATCTTCAGAAGTTGTACCTTAGGATTCTTGACTCTTGACGAATGTATCTTTTCTTTTATGTATACTGAGAGCATGCACCAAGACAAATTCCTTGTGTGTTCAATCACACTTGGCCAATAAAGAATTCTATTCTATTCTATTCTATTCTATTCTATTCTATTCTATTCTATTCTATTCTATTATCTACTTGCTAGAACATGTGCATTAACACTGGCACCAAAGGAACAAAGGAACCTGAATGGAACAATTTATTTAAATGTTGTTTAAATTGCCAGACAGAGCAATGCCTACTTGTTAACATGCCTGGGGAAGAAGTGCAGTGACAGGCCAATTAAACTAAAAATCAGAGCCAACATTCTTGTGAAATCATATATGGATTACAGAAAGAGCCTGCCAAGCTATAGCAGGTGAGACACATTAAATTAAATATAATCTATTATGAGATTTTGCTGCTCATTAAAATGTGTTTGAATGTCTTTTCCACAAAATGCTTGCAACTACATTTAGTTAGAAACAATACATTATGCATGCAAAACACCTAAGAATATTCTACCACTGAGATAACTTGATTGGCAAAACATTCTAATGTCTCTTTTTGGGTAACATAAATTGGCTCCTGAAATGGAAGAGTTTGCTCACTTTTTAATGTCAGCAATGAATACTATTTTAAGGTACATTGTAAATATTTAAAATCTAAAACATTACCCTAAAATGTTCTTTAAAGCCAAACAGAATTCACAGCTGAATATCACCAGGAAATATTCAGACTAAAACACTGCCTCTTCTGCCTTTATTATGAATTTAAGTTCAACAAGGCTGCCTCTGAATTTCAGTACCAACCTAATGCCACACCCAAAGGAGAGGGAAATGTTCAGCAAATGCTTCTCATGCACTGAGTGTGATGGGCAAAGTTGTGTTACCTTTTCTAGTTGCATAACTGACCCACATTAGCATGGATCTTCCTTACTTAGTATAGTATTAGGGTAGTGGAGATCTTTTCTCTGATGATGGTGAAAGCTAACACAGGCATCATAGGAAGGAGTATTACTAACTCAGTTGTGGCCAATAACATTTTCAGGCACAGCATCTCAAAATAGCAACTAATTTGGAATAACTTGAAAGGGCAAAATAGTATTTTTGCTGTATGTTTATAATGTTGGTATTTTTAATGTATTTTAATGTATTCTTGCTGTCAAGGAAATATTCTTGTGAGATTTTCTGATTCAGCCTCACCCTTAACAGAAGAGAAGTGCCATTTGGTTTTCTCCTTCATACAGAACAGGGGTCACCAATATTTTGGAATTCAGGGATCACCAAACTCATAATTTTAAATCCCATGAACCACTAATATGAATTTTGACTGACGGTGGCTTGCTGACGTTTTCCCAGGGTCTCTGCAGAAAGTAGCAGAGACCCTGGGAAAATCCCCAAAAAAGTCTGCAGGAAAATTCCCCATCCCATTTTCCTACTGATTGATCATTCTTTATTTGAGATTGCAGGATACCATCTCCAGCTCTGCTCTCGGGGAGAGAGAGAGAGACTTTTGGCTCTGTGCAAGGAAAGCAGCAGAAGTCTTTCTTTCTCTCCCCCAAACTCTGCCAGAAATGACTCTTTGCTGGCGCAACCTCTTGGAGCAGGATGCCTTGCAGGGTCCCAAAGACTCATTTCTGGCAGAGTTTGGGGAAGAGAAAGAAAGACTTTTGCTGCTTTCCTTGCATGCAGCCAAAAGCAGAAGAAGAAAGTAGTGGAAAGAAGCAGCCCAGTGGCCAGGCCAGACACGTGGGGTGTGTGGGGCAAGTTCCTCCCCTCCGCCCTTTCCCTCCTCCCCTCACTACCTCATGTTGTTCGCAAT